GACTGGTTTCTGGCGACATCCATTAGTGACCGTAGAAAAGCTTGCTTAGATATTGATACTTTCACCAGTAGATAATTCAAATCCTATCGCTGAATAATTTCTTTTTTGTGATTGAAATTTTACCGTGTATTCTTTTTCTCTTTTATGATTGGCAAGTCCATGGAGTATATGACAGCCATTTTTCCGTATTTTGCGCACACCCACAGACATTGTGTGTGTCTTACAAAATGGTTGTCGAAGAATGTTTCTAGCAGTACGTCTTTGTTTCAAAGCTTAGGATATTGAATGTACGCTCTTACAAACGCTTTGTGCTTGATTCGAACAGTTCTGTGAAAAAAATATGCTTTGACATTTTGGAATGATTGAAAGAACCCGAATAATATTTAGAACTTGTTTTTAATCGGTTTATTTTTGTATGAGCTTTTCTGTTTTTGGTATTTGAACTTGATTTTATTAAAACAGAATAATGAATGACAATATTTTGTTTCTTTGTTGTGATCACCGCCATATTTTGTACGCTTTGTATTTAATTGCAAAGCGTGCACGTACGCTCTGCGCTCCCAAATGTAATGGGGGATACGCAATACATCGCACTTCGCTATTCTGTCAACCAACTTTATATTAAACTGCCTATTGGATAATCATTGTCATCTGCATTCTGCTCTTTGTTAATTGCGTTTACGAATGCTGTTACATAAGCAAAGGAAGTTAGAGGGTAATTATCTTAAATGGAATAAAATACAATTTCTGCTGACGTATTGCATATTATTTTATTCTGTAAAATAGCGTGCATTTATAAAAACTAACAGCTAAATTTCTGTATTGAGCTATCAGTTAGTCGAAGGAACCTTGGCTAATTTGTCATTATTGTGTTTTTCTTAGACTCCGAATTCTTACCGAACTTAAAAGGGCACATGTGATAAAATGACAAAATGTCTAAGTCTAACAAAAATACCTATCTTTCAGGGACACAATAGAAGCCCCTCTAAGAAGATTATGCAGGCAGACAGAACAGAAGACCCGGGTCTTTTATTGTGTCACCCCCTTTATTTGAACAGGAGTGAAATTATAAAATATCTGAAAAAATTTTTGTTGATGACATCATCTTTCCCGAACAGCTCTCCTTCCCGTCATCATTCACCATCTTTTCTCAAACTCTCCCCACCCCTTAGCGATGACATAATATGCGAACGCTTCCTTAGTTGTCACATAAAAATATGATTACATTCTAGAAAATGACTTTGGAAGAAGTGAAAGTTCGAAATGTCTGGTTAAGCTGATAAATCCACCACGATGGAAGTTTCACGATTCTACTTTAAAAAAGTTTTGCTCATATATTTGCTTTGACAATAATCTTTTTCGTCACATGAAAGTTCAGACAAGCAAGTATAGGCGATGAGCTAGAATGGTTATAAGAGTCACGTTGCTATTCACTGCACGAGGCAAAACATGTGATAGAAAAGAAAAAAATATAACAGAAAAAGAAAGAAAAACGTGATTCGACGTTCTTGTGGGTATTCTAACAAGCTTCTTGTCTAGAGACAATCAAGTCTTTATATATGCCTGTACTGGCCTCAGAGCGTCCAGCTCCTATCTATGTATATATTATGACAAGAAAAGAAGACAAAAAATGCATATATGCATATTCTTTTTGTCTGAAAGATTCTTTTAAGAATTGACAAGATTCTTGTGGGAAATCGCTATCTTGTGAATTCAGACAATAATCCGTCTCGTGATTCTTGTATGAACTCACAAGAAACTAAGTTTATGCAAGGTTCTTGTAATAAAAATACATGTAAAATATTTGACAAGATTCTTGTCTGAAATGCCAAGAAATAAGAATCTTGCAAGAATACCTACAAGAACATCAACCAGTGATTGTTAAGAACTAATATTTTCTTCTCTATATGTCAATTCATGAAATAAGACGATTGTACTGCATGAAAATACAACGACTCATTTTCTATCGACTACAAATTGTTTATGATAATATTAGCCACATAAAATATCTCATGAAAAATTCACCTATCAAGAACGGAAGATATCGTGAGTCTAAAATAGAATTCTCCTTTAGGGAGGGAGCATTTCAAAATTCTTGCCGTTCTCTCTGCCGCGGTACAATGGATTTATTTTAATGACATTTCGCTATATTATCAGTTTCTTTTGATGTATGTATACGTATGCATGAAATTTATTTTGATAGAAAATTTATTAAAATTCTCTTTACGATTAAATTGCATAAATGCATAAATAGGAAAACATATAATAATATACTTCTTATTTGTATATATAGAGCATTGTAGCATATAAGCATTTCTCAACTATTCCCAAATATTAAACAAGACAATATCATGGTAAGTCAGTACTATATTTCATTGTTAGTATTGAGTATATATGTCTTTTCATCAATACTACTCAGTTAAGCAATAGATATCTGTACAATTCTGCGCAAGGTCCACCTCGCTATCTGTTGTGGTTCTCGAATGACACTCATTTTCCTGAGTCACCCATGGCAGACATTTACCCAACGAATTGATAACGTATTACGGGTGACTCAGGAAAATGAGTACCATTCCACAACAGATAGAGAGGTTGGCCTTGCACAGAATTGTAGAATCCACTTTGGACTATCTAGCCACTATGTTACAATTAAAACTTATTGATTGTGACAATAATTGCTGGGAATTTCGGTAGCCCTTGTTGCAAGGATACGCACCCCAAAACCTTGCCACTTCTACTACGCAAAGCATATCTCATAAAAACTGCTGCAACAAAAGTTCCCTATGAAATTCTACGTGGAATAAGCTGACAGTTTTTTTCTAATGACAAAACGTTTAAAAAATTATTAATTAGAAAATTTTAAAATTAAAAAATGTTTTAATTTTCATTTAACTTCTGTTCAAAGCTTTTTCTTGAAATTCCATTCCGCTTACTCCATGCAGAATGACATCAGCTACAACTTCACCAGCGAAAATTTTTCTCGAAAATTCTTAGTTATCGCGCAATCGCTGGTAAGGTTTTCAAAAATTACTTTTTATGGTTAAGAGTAGAAAAAACTCTTTTTACAATGTGTCACTTAAAAAACCTATGTCGTTCGAAAACGTTTTAAAGTGTATTATATACAACCAAATATTGTGTACAAAATAACTCTACCACGACGTTGATCGGTCATTCCAATAAAATATAATGAATTTATTTTGCAATACCATCGAAATTGAAAATTTAATTAAAATTTAAACTTAGCTAAAATAACTCTGTGAATATTTATCAGTTCATCAAGAAAACTGAAGGATATATGTAATCAGGTGTCCTCTTCAAACTAACATAAGTTGAGGGCACATTTTGGGGGGAAGGTGGATCCCCCATCCTTAATCGTAAATTGTAAAGAGAATTTTCAATAAATTTTCTACCAAAATAAATTTCATGCATACGTATACATACGTCAAAAGAAACTGATAATATAGCGTAATGTCATTAAAATAAATCCATTGTGCCGCGGCAGAGAGAACGGCAAGAATTTTGAAATGCTTCCTTACAAGAACATCCACAATACTCATTTCAAATACCAACGATTAAAATCAAAAGGAAAAGAATGAGTTCATTTACAACGTCATCGTTTTCCTTCCATTTTCTCTTGGCTCTATTCAGTTGCTACTTCTTTGCTACTTCTTAAATGAGGAAAGTAGCAACTGAATAGAGCCAAGAGAAAATGGAAGGAAAACGATGACGTTGTAAATAAATCCGTTACCCTACTAGGAAGGAATGATGGGTTCAGAGATCTTCTACTAAAAGCTTTTTCGATATCAAAAGCTGATTGTTGAGAATCTGTCCTGTTTTATTTTAAACTGTTTCTATGATCCTTTAACGATTCTTTCGACCAATATAGAAAAAGTGAAAACCAAATGAATGCTAACAGTAGTTGGTGCTAAATATATCCACCAACTTGCGCGTTTCAGATTCGATTTATGTTTTGCTTATTTGAGAATTATTACCCAATTATGGATCTATTAATACACATATTATGATAAAATATCAGATGTCATGTTTTGCTTATTTATTTTGTTCTTACATTGAAAGTATAAATTTCAGCAATAGCAGAATTTCCTACATTTCAGACATTCTACAGAATTCTATAGAATTCTACATTTTCCCTATGAATTCTACAACAACTTTTTCACAGCTAAAACATGATATGTTCGAGTTATTCTCAAAACAGAAATCTAGGAAATGTATAGGATTCTACCTTAGTACACATATAAGCCGAGTGGGAGACAAACGAAAATGTATAGAATTCTACAGAATTCTATTACTGACTAGGAGCGGGAGCGGGGCGGGGCTGGTATGCAGAGCATGATAGTGAGTCACTAATCAACTATGTTCGTACGAATGGAGAATTTCATAGAATTCCATACGTTTCCGCTTGACTCAAACTTGGTCAATAAAAAGTATATCTATGCTAACGTAGAATTCTATAGAATGCTAGGTTAGCAACTATGTCTGTACTTAGGTAGAATTCTATAGAATAGCTGAATTGCAGGAACTCTGACATCCCTCATAAATTGTAGAAAATTATCTATTTAAAAAGAAGTATCTTTAAATGTGTGAAAAATGAATTGAACTATGTGATGAACTATCTTTGGTGTTTTTTGTACTGTTAAACTTAAATGAGAAAAATAGTTCTGAAGATAATAATACTTAATAGGCAAATATGATAGGTTCGCTCATATTTGATTGGTGATTTAAAACAAATATTTTATCGCGAATTAGCCAGATGTTGCTGCATAATCCGAAATACACATGTGAAAATTTTTATTTCTAATTTTGTAAAACAAAAATTTAATTTCGAAAATTTTGATTTGTCATCTATGAGTGACATTAAACCAACTATTCGTTTATCATAGAATAGACGGTAAGGTTAATTTCTTTGATCACAATCCGTTGACCTCATTTTTCGAGATCAAGCGACTGATTATTGTCATGTTTTAGATATTACCAAACGAATGGCTTCTACTAAGAAAGAAGTAACATTAGAGCATCCCAATTTATTTGAGTATAATAAAAAACGTGATGTTACAAAAACTAATGAACCCCAAGAATCGAAAGTAACAGAAAATCAATATCGTTTTGTCGTTCAAGAACATCATGCTACTCGATTGCATTTTGATTTTCGTTTAGAGTGGGATGGTGTCATGAAAGTATGTCACTTTTATATTTTTATGAAAAAATTTAATTTTCAAAAATTAATCGCTTTTCTAGAGTTGGTCCATACCAAAAGGGCCATCAATGAATCCCAACGACAAACGCCTAGCAGTTGCTGTAGAAGATCATTCAACTGATTATATGTATTTTGAAGGACGTATTCCAGATGGTGAATATGGAGCTGGTCAGTTGTTATTCAAGCGTAATGAAGTAATAAATTTTTTGTACGCTATAAGCTCTTTTGTTTTCATTGTAGGAGAAGTGAGAACATGGGATATTGGCACATATGAGCTAAAAGGCACGACTGATTTCAATCAACAATTGCAAAATAGAAAACTCACTTTTAGACTTAATGGTGAGAAACTAAAAGGCGAATTTCATATGATAAAAACACAAGTAGGATGGCTATTATGTAAGAAGAAAGATGAATATGCTGTTGCTAATTGGCAATTGAAACAAATTTTAAATTATGGATCACGTAAAGCAGCTCCATATAATCACGATGAGCAAATCGAAGAGACAAACGGGAAAAGAACAACGGAAGTGGAAGCAAATCGTAATAAACGAAAGGCAACAACGACACAAATAGAAAAGAAAAAAGTAATAAAATCAAAAGAACTTCATAATGTTTCCTCGAATAACTCTTCTTTGTCAGATGATGTATCGTAAAAAGAAGTGTGTGTTTATTGTAAATATTTTCATGGACTGAAATAAATGTTGATAGACGGTTTTTTCTTATGTTTTACTTGCTGTAATTGAATAGTTCACCAAAACCTGGTAAATGTAGATAGACGAGCAGAGGAACGAAAACTAACATAGCATGGGGAAAACAGTGGCCTATAGTACTCCCGAACTGTCACCGTTTACTTCAGAATATGAGAATTTATAGCGAGTCCCCAATATGAGTACTTGTGTACACCTTTTAAATATTTATATTATTAAGTATAAGCAACTTTTGCAAGCAGTAAGAAGGCAGTATATTTTATAATAAATTTGTTTATTTCACTAGTCAAATAGTTGCAAGAAAAAAGAGGTCAACATACTTTATTAATGTTGCATCAGTTATATAACGACACTCTAATGGAGATGATTGTATTACTTTTACCCATGTCGTTTTTTTTCAAGATTTCTGTAGAAATGTGCACCTTTTGGGTCACACTAACGCAACGCCAGACAACGTATACTTCTCATATGCGTTTCCTTGCACGGTATTTTCCCCCGCATAAGTCAACAAAACTAATGCTTTTTTTGTCTTGTATCGGAGTATCTTTTTTTTGCGTCATACTGCGTGTGTTTCTTCAATACAATTTTCGCAAAAAATGTTTTGGTTTAACAATACAAAAGGAACGATGACTCATTGAGGTGAGTCATTATAACTAATGTATAATTTGAAAAAGCGGAATATATGCAACCTTATATTTATATAAATGGGCCTTTTCCATCAAAAATTTACTTTTTTTCTTTTTGAGGTTTTCTTTCCAACGAGGAAACCGATTTAATTATCAAACCCTTTTTTCAATCTGACGTACTGGATTATAAGTTATCGACTGTGCTGATTCCGAATATGACCATGGCAGTTGCTTATAGGCGTCCAGAGATCCGGTCATTGGAAAAACAGCTTTGCAGAAACTCTAAGAAATAACCAAAACCTTTCTTAAGGAGGCAGAATAATAACCCGCACATTTCTGATTACAATGAGATATCGCCCAGCTCGGCATGATCTTTCGTTGCAAAGTTATAGAATTTAAAAGAAAAGCCCCAAAGTTATTTTTCCTTTTTCTT